TGTACACAGGAGGGCTGTTACCCTTCCCTTTATAGTTATGACAGAACATGTGACCATCTCCTGAGCATACACCCCTGGGACTGGCTCCCAGTGACCTCCCCAGGTGAGGAGCTGGAGGAGATGTGTCAGTCTCTTTGGATGGAAAGTGTCAGTGGAGGAAGAGAGATGAGAAAATTGTCTTGTGTAATAATTGCAGATGGGCTCAGCCAAATTCACTGATCCAAACCCACCAGAACATTGTGGGAGGGGGAATGTTCAGATTCTGACCCCACCTCTGGATCTCAGTTTTGGGGCTGGCACCTGTCGCTATAACAGGCTGAAACAAACCCCTGGATGTGAACTTCCCGACCTGGGCCCATCTCTAGTTATAAACAGGGTGGCATTTCTACCCCAGCTGCTCTCAAGGGAGTCCATTATTTGGGCCCTGTGGGCGTTTAGCCTGTGGCTGGGGGAGGAGACACTGAGCAGATGAGCCAGTTCTGCTGAGAAGCTGGAGCGCTGCCAAGCTGAGCCCTGGGCTGCCTGAGAGGCTAGTGGAGAGCAGGAGGTCACAAAGGATCAGGCCAGTGACCTCCCAGCGGGAGCTGTAATTCCTGCAGAGGGGAGGTTCCCCGTCCCCTGGGTAACAGGAAAACTCAAACCTGTCTGCAGAGATCAGCTGGATTCACACAGGCCGGCTCTGGCCTGGCAGCGCCCGTGTTCCAACCTGTTATCTCAGCACAAGCCCAGATCCTGCTCCCACTGAAACACATACAAGAGCTGCTGTTGGATTCTGCAGGGACAGGATTGACCCCTAGTTATTTCTGGGACTCCTTTTTCACTGTAGTTCTCTGACTCGTGCCCTTCTCACCATGGGCTCCCTGTGACTTTTCCTCTCACATGCCATGATAAACAGCTCTAGTATAAGGTCCACCTGACCTAAAGAGACGCTGTTGGTGCCGTGGGCTGAGTGTGGTGTTTGCTGTTCCAGAGGGAGCTTCCCCAGGGGGGTCTCAGCTGGATTACGATAACGTGGAGGAGCCTGCCTTGAACGACATCTCCCAGACTCCAGACGGCCGAGGTGAGCAGTGAATCAGCCTCCTGGAAGCAACGTCACCCTGATGAAAAACGAATTGTATTTCCCAGAAGGGACAATAGTGGTTTGTTAAGAAAACCACAAAGTTCACCCACCAGTATTGTCTGTTGGCGTAACGTGGGGCCCAGGGGTAAGGAAGCGTGTGATGTCCTAGGTCAAAATAGAGGCCGATTGCAGGGACGGAAGGAGCAGTTTGCTCAGGAGCTGCCCACACGGTACTTGGCTCAGATCACTGATCTGTGACCCTCACTGCCCTGAGCACTAGGGTTACTCACCATCTGTAAAGACAACGCACCAAAGCAGAGACCTTTACATAACAGCAATGTTCCCTGCCAGCCTTTCTTGGCATGAAGCTATGGCAGCTTATATACATCTGTGTCAGACACGCTGTGACTGGGGGTGGGTGGGACAGAGATTTTACACCAAAGGGCCAATTTCGCACCCTTATTAGCTGTCTCAGCTCCCAGTGGTGTCAGCACATTGGAGACTGATGGCAGTTTATGGCGTAAACTTTATCAGTAGAACACATTGAAAAGACATTTTAAAAATCATGTCAAGTTTAGGAAGCCGGAGACAAACTCTGGACAATTCCAAGTCATTTACATTCATGATGATTGTAACCAAATGCCTTGTGGAACAATCCCCCTGGACTAGACCCCAGTCACCTCTTTCTAGAACTCCCCCTTGTCAGCTGGGAGTTCTAGGATCCACTCAACCAGCTATTGAAATGTATCAAATCAATGTGATATGTAAACCCCCCAGTCTGAGGTTCCAGAGGAGGGCTCTGCTTACCGCCCTGAGGTGGAAGTTAAGTGCTGAGAAATCCCCAGGGACCAGTGAGGCTGGTGCATCTGCAGCTTGTAGTTTAATTATGTCTTCACTGTGACTATTCCCTTAATTACGTCACTTCTTTACGTCAGATGC